CCCAGGTTTCTTCTCGTTTCTAAAGTGGCGAGTGGAGATACGCGGAATTACTGAACTTATTCTCTGTCATGATACATCGACTGTCTCTAAATCTTTGAACTCGTTTGAATTCTCCTTCATAACTTGAATACTTGCTTTCAAATTCAACAGAGTATTAACTTTAGAGATGTACTTGTAAACAGATGTTAAAAAGTCAAACGTCTTCGGGGGAAGTTCCCGATTCATGGGCACTGTGTTAGCAAAAATCCTTTGATCCATTGCGCCGGTTAGAGTAAAGTTATAAGTGCGATCTGTACAGACATTCGCTACTTCCAGCGCAAAGGAGAAAGTTCCATAATTCCTTCTCAAGAATAAGAGACAATTCGAATCCAAGTCTTTCACAGTTGTCTCTGAACCAAACATTTTGCGTGGAACACCATTCTCAAACAGTACTCCTTTCCTTGTCACGTCAGCGGTTTTCTCTTTGGCGCATGCACACAGCCTGATATCGACTGATTTGTCCACGCATGACTCAAACTTGCTATACCTCGTGTGTCGTATAAAACTCAGAAAAAATACCCCTTGTTCTGGTTTAGCGTGCTGTTTTATGGAGACTTTATAAACTTCATCCTCTTGTGGAGGGACCACATGTATGTCCATAGAGGTGATAATGTACTCTCCTTGGAAACGTTTGATAATATCTTTAAACGTTTTTCCAACAAGGCGTTCACAGTTTCCAGACCCGGATTTTTTATCTGAGTCAACAATGCCTGAAAAAGGGAATTATTGAACTTATTACTTTCATCGATTGTCAACCTACAAAACCTACAGAGCAGAAGCTTGTTTAGGAGGAACTGACGGGCAACTGACAAGCGCCGACTCGCCTCTTCACCCAGCTGGCCCCCACCCTTCCACCACCCACTTAACTTCCCTCCCCTCCCCTCCCCTCTCCTACCTTCATTTATTGAAGAATCTTGGTTTACAATATTTGCCTCATTAGCGTAAGCCATACAGTTTGTGGTAGAGCTACAAAAACATTAGTTCTGAATATTGAAAGGGCGCAACACGATTAACTGTCCCAAGAAATTTGAGACCGATGTATTGAATGCTTTTTGTGCGACGCGGGTTTAAAAACTCAAAATTTTACAAAGAATGTATGAACTCATAAGCGCTTTTGCCACCCAGGAATTTTGCAGTTTTTGAAAGCCAATTTCTCCTCGAATTACACCCAAGTTAAAGTTAAACTTTTGGAAAAAATGCGAACGATAGCTAATCAACCATTTAGCATCATACCTTTCATGTATTGCTTTTGTATAGCATCGTTCATGAATCCAACCGCAAATTCTGCCAGCCATTTGTGATTCTCTGCGTTGTCCTGGATATGACCTTCTTCATCAAAGCCTTCGCACTTACACCTGGTCAGCGGAAGCATGTACAAGTCTGCGCATGTGCGGTTGGCAGGAATGACTGAGAATATGCCTGTTTGTGAAAAATCCTGAGTGTTCATTTTCTTAGCGTCGTGCAAACTCATGAGTGCTTTGTGAACATCTTGTAAGATAAAGAGCCGCTTTTGATTTGCAACCAAGGCGGCCATTCTCTGAAGGCCTAATTTTTCTTAAACACCATCAGGAACAATCATGAAGAAAGCTGGGTCAAATAACTCTCTTCTACCTTCTTCCGTGTAACTGAATGGTGTCATTTTGTGGCCATGGTCGGCAAAAATCATGGTGAGAGTGTTGGGAAACCGCGCCATATCGACGAAAAACTTCGCTAAGTTTGCGTCCAAATTAACTATTCGTGTTCCAGTCATTTCATGTCCGGTATTAAAATGCATGTAAGACAGCAAAGGCTTCGCTTTTTCGTCGCTTTGCAACGCAGTGTACACCTTGGTGATGTAGTCCATGAAGTACCAACTAAAAAACTGTCCGTTGAGGCACATCTTTGCAGGTTCATCATAATGGTTTGTTCTGTCGTACTTGTTCACCATCGTGCAAGAGAAATGTGTCAAGCCATAGTGATCGATGTGTTTCTTGGCCACCTTTGCTTGTAGCTCCTCCCACCTATGATCAAAGATAACACTGATTCTCAAACGTGCTTAACAATTCAGTATGATCATACAAAGGTTAAGTTTACATGCAACCTATTACTTCGGGAAGAAGAGTACAGAGCGCGTGAAAAGACAGATTGGAATCCAGAAAGAGACCATTGACTTATAATTAAGTGACTGAATTGCATAATTAAATCAATCGAACGATCAATCAATCAGAACTTTATTAACTTGTCAGTCTTAGCCAAGAGAAAACACCGCTCTACTAATTGGGAAAGTTAAAAGCCTACTATTAACTATTGGGAACATAGGTAAAAACCTAAAGAATCTAAATCTGTATATCGATTAACAATTAAAAATTCACAGGCAGTTAGAAAAAACCTAAAAACCTAATAAGCCCTGAACACAATTAGGTCACATTAACTCTGCTAATGGGAATAGTAGAAATGCGAGAATGGTAATAATGTGGAGGTGTAAAATTCTTGAAGCGTGGAAATTTGGGAGTCTGGATTCATAGGCGGCGGAGCAGGGGTAAGAGGGCTGTAGCCCCCACCCCGCAAAAGAAAATTTATCCCCCCCTTGCACGTTTCGGTGCCGAACATATCACTAGCGCAGCATAAGATTAGTTTGACAAAATATTCCGTTTCGTAATCTGCCTGAAGTACGTCAGGTTACAAAAATAAGAACCGTTTGCGAAGCTCTCGACAAAACTCCTGTCACCAAAGCGCTACTAGGAGAGATCCACAAACTGTTAAGATTGTATTTGACATAACCTGTAGCATCGGCGACTTCCGAGCGCACATTTTGTGCCCTACGAAGACTAAAATGAAGCAGGATCGTCTAAACAACGGCCTCCTCCTGCATTGTCATAAGTCTTTTACGGACACATTGAACACTGTTAGTGTAGACATCGCAAACAAGTTTGTTTGTGCAAACGAGCAACGCCCAAGACCTTTTGGAAAATACGAGTAGAGGTATGCGTTTGGCTTAACGATGAATCCCCCCCCCGCTCCTAGCCCGACTCATGCTTCAAAACGCTCCGCCGCCTCTGGATTACTCTGGGAATAAACTAATTAATGAGATGTTAATCATCTTCGGGGTAGGACTGCATGAGATACCAGCCAGTTCAACTCAATCTACTGCCAGCCTTACCTCTCTTTAAATTCTGTATCATTGCTTGGCACATCTCGTTTTTCAATGTCCGTTAGCGCACTTCCCCAAAGATCATACCAACAAAGGTCCTCTTGAAAGAGGGTCTGGTAGCCCCACCTCTGGAAGGTCCCATATAACACCTCCACGCCTAATGGAGCCTTTGTGTTCTTCCCTGAGGCACTTATTTCGTTGTCGTCTGAAAAATCAGAAAACCCACTCTGAGCGATATAATACAAGCTGAAGGTCCAAGCGATCCTTTAAGAGCAATAACAGATGTTACTGTTCGGTCAACATTATGGAATATTTGTCATGCTTTCTTAGCAAGTTTATAGACCTAGCTAAAATAAAGTTATACCACTACAATGGTTCTTTCGAAACTCCCTTAATAAACTTATGTCTCCGTTCTCGGTTAACCCGCGCACGCGAAAGTTTAGTGTATATTCGTGTTTTTCCGAATCGTTTTCGTTAAAGTTGAACTGAAATAGGCCCTTTGCACGATCCGGTCACATTGTACAAAATCACACATGCTGGAACGCAAGTTGCACAGTGGGACTTCCACACCAAAGCAACTCATACCAGTCCACCTTGACCTGCCTTTGTTTTGGAAGTCCTACTGTGCAAAATATATCTAATCTTACACATGAGGTGAGCGTGATCCAAACAACAGCCACAAAAGTAACTATACGCTTACCTTTAAGAACACCAGAGAAGAATGGCCTCAAGTTCTCAAACGTTTGTTGACCAATACTCTGGACCAGTTCAAAGTCCAAGGCGGTGGCCTTTATGTTTGGATCCTGCACAATCTTGCGAAGCGCCTCTACGGCTCTTGGCATAATCCTGTAGAAATGTGGTCTAGATATGGAGTCAAGCATAACTACATTTATATCAATACCACGTCTACGTTGTCCATTACCGACTTTCTTTAGTATCGGCGGAAAAGTGAGCGTTTGAAAGATGCTTCCAAATATATAGCCGCATCTTAGGAACAGAAAACTAAATCCCTTTTCTAGGTTTGTTTTGACAGCTTCTTGCACCCCAGTGGTCAAGGTGTCCTTTGGTAAGGTCTTCCAGTCGCTGACAGCTTTTCCCATTTCTGGATTGACAGAAGCTATTTGGATACTGAACCACCACCCACAAACGCTAGCGTCACATGACAGGCTGTGCTGGCCTGGCTCTGTTTCTTGGAAGAAACATATGTCTGGGTGATGAGTCTCGTCACATTTCCGATCCTCACCACGCCGTGGCTCTCCGTAATGTTGGTAAATTTGTTCAGAACCATTTTTGTCGGGTCTAAAAGAGAATTTGAAACAAACTGATAAAACTGGCTGAAAAAAGCACATTAAAATGAACAGGAAATTTAAAAAGAGATCACTAGGTGTTACTAAAGAAAAAAAAAAGGTAAAAGTCTGCATATGAGCCAAGTGGTCCATCAGGCCGGAGCTTATCCTGGTTTCTGTAGCCTGAAGCAACTAGGAGTATTTCTACTCCCCCCTGGATGGAATGCTAGTCCGTCGCAGGGCTACCCCTAACATAAACTTCGCCTGCACCCATTTATACACATTGGTGGAGAGGGGCACTGTGAGAGCAA